AGAGAGAGAGAGAGAGAGAGAGAGAGAGAGAGAGAGAGCGAGAGAGAGAGAGAGAAGAGAGAGCGCGCGCGCGCGCACGTACGCACGCACGTCGTCGACGACACAACGACGACAACGACGACGACGACGACGACGACGACGGCGTTAGTCAAGGATCAAGCACGTAATCCGCAATTCGAGGCAAATAACGCGCGCGACGCGACGAATTCCGTTGCGAATTCACGCGGACCGAGAGACACTCGCGTTCTGGACGAACGTACGCGTGACGCCGCGATCGTCGAGTCACCGGGTGCACACGAGCGGCGCAGAAACGACCACCACGATGACGGCGAAACGCAGCACTGGACATCGCCTTCGGGATTGGAAACACTCCGAGGGTTCTCAACCCAGGGCATAATATTGCGCCAGGGCCGTATTCCCGTAGACGATGTTTAGAAGAATAATCGCGTGTGGAGACTTGGGCCAAGTGGAGGCCTTGGATCCAATTTATAATCCAATAATTAATCGAATATCCGAAAGTTAATTAACGATTAATCAAATAGGCAAAAGTGTTCATGGCAAGATTAATAACTACATATATATATATATGTGTGTGTGTGTATGTGTGTGTGTTTCGTTAGACACCAAGCTTGATAATTTTGAAAATGTAATAGATGGCACATTACTTTGTAGGATCTCAGATCTCTAATTTTAATTTTTCTAATTTAAGACAATTGTTTGTTGTCGTGGTTGACACCACGTGTTATTATTTTTATGTGGATACTTGCAACGTAACCGTTCAAAGCTGGAGTTATTTCCCCTTTAATAAATCGATTACCCCCCTTTTCCTCCCACGAGAAATTTTTATTACGATTTTATTTTCTGTGTTTATAAAATGCCATTATCATTATTTGACGAGTTGATCGGTAATTAATTGGAATTTAGCTAAATCCCAAGTTCAAATGTGAATGAATGGAATTTAAAAACAATATCCAAAAATAATAACTATTTAATAAAATAGCTTAAACTTTGTTGAACTTCATTCCAAATCAAAATTATTTATTTGATTGTGGAATTATTTAGTAATGTATTAAATATTTATAAAATAATTGTTACATGCGTGTACGTATCGCGTAATTAATGTCGTTATATTTTAAAATTTAATCAATTATTGCCACATCTTTATTTAATTTTACGAGCTCGTGGATTTTAAATTCATAAAAGTTTTAAATTCACTGCAGGAATGCACAAATAAATGAAAACTTAATAATCTCCATTTCCGATCGATATAGACTAACTTTAATTTCGGTTTAACTTACTTTTATTTTCTTTTTAATCTTAAGAAGTAGAAAAGAGTAAAAATAAATTAAACTACGATTAAAATTAATGGACATTGGTAGAAATGCACATTATTTCTGAAAATCAATTCGCAATAGATGCAAGGATCCTTTGTTGATTCGATCCGCTCCTGATTGTACCTGGCAATCTTTAAGCCGCGTCCACGAGAATATCTGTCTCTCTTTTCATCTTTCTCGCTCTCTCTCTCTCTCTCTCTCTCTCTTTCCTTTTGTTATTATCTTTCTAATCACGCGTGTGAGGCCGACGTTCACTCGATTCGCCTTGGCGCATTATTTTCGCCGTCACGACAAGTTCACGTGTTGCTGTCGAAAACGAGGGCCGTTCAGAAAGAGCGCGAAAACTTATACAGACTAAATTATTAGCCGTATGTGTCCCGCATTTGCTTCGCTGAACGACGCTCTCGCTCGATGACGTATCTGCGCAGTTCGCGACGCCGTAAGAAGCATGAGCACCGTGTCGCAGGGCGGTATCTGAGTCATCGGGTATCCCCCTGCATGATAGAATTCCACATATTTAGCTTATGTAATTGATCTCGGAATGATCGAGAGACAGAATCTGTCTCATAAATAATCTTTAGATGCAATCTAAAATCTAGAAATTATCTAATTATTAAATAAATGAACAATTTTTAGTCATCGGACGATCATCGACTATAGACATTAATTTGCAAGTTATGAATGTGATTATGAACATTTATCACTTACGAGTTAGTATTAGATCGATGATCTGCCTGAATATACATTATAATGTAATTAGTAAAAAAAAATATATATAATCAATTGCGAATTTTTACAATAATAAACACGACGTTATTATATATTCCAATTTTTCCACAAAATGTTATCAAAAAATATACTTTTACGTAATTTATACTACGATACTTTCTTCATTCTACATTGTAATTTTTTTTTTTATAATTCTCGATAGAGGGAAATAAATCACAGGGCGTACAAAGGTATGCGTACGGCCCTGTTGACAAAAAGAGGGAGGACGCGAGGCTTGATCGCTCTTGAGAGAGCGCACGCTTCTTTCAAATTTAACTCCTAAAGTGATCGCGACTTTCAAGCGTCAGCCAAGCCGCCGTCGCTATACATATCACGTACAATGCCGCGTGATGTATTTGTATCCACAGCCTATACCACCGCTGTCGCTCGTGTGTAGTTCATGCTATGCGTGCCTGTGTGGCACCAGCTTCCAACAATATGCTCCGAGAA